CCTCAACACTTTAAATAAAAATAGTGGCTTGTGATATAATCTGTTGCTGCTTGAATGGATAGCATCATATCATTTTCAATGAAAATGAAAAGGCAGGTTTTTTTAAAAAAAGACAATTGCAGGGAATAGAAATTATCAGAGGCCCAATATGGGCTATAACAGACATTGTCCTAATTCTTTTCACAAAAAAATGGGAAGATGTATTTTGTTTTCTAAGTTCTCCATCTGCTATCCGCAAAATTTGGTATCCTCAGTGTCCCTCCATATTTAAGCAAATATATATTTTCCATTTTTCTTCCATTGAAGGTATGGGGGTGGTAGAAACATCCATCAACATGCAGAAAAGAAAAGGCTGGGCTTTTTCTGTCTGTTACCCCACAGTTCTGCTTCCACCACACACAGAGAGGAAAAACTATTAGAGATTTACATGGTGTCCTGTTCCCCTTTTAATCAATGAGTGTTATACTCATTTGCAGATACTGTCAATATTTCAACTGTTGCATGAAGACACTCAAAGAGGAGATCCCTGTCCTAACCTGTCCCAATTTTTTGTCTTGGCTAAGGGACTGGCTGCATCACGTATTAGCGTCAACTCTTAGCCAGCCCTTGCCCAGCTTTCGTCACCAGGCCACTTACTGCCTGTTTCAAGTGATAGACTGTAGGTTCATAAAATCCATTTAAGGCTAAATGCCTATGGAGATTCTGAGTCATCCAGATCGTGATTGTCTTAAAGGTGCTTTTACAAAAAGCAACTGGGTTATATTTCTTATATTACATATTCTTTAGTTTCTGCTTGATTCCCTAGTTGAAATATTTTCTTTCTCTTGTTTCCTGTGATGATGGGCAGTTCAACTTCTCCTGACTGCTTTTAGTTTATATTTTTATTTGTTTAAATTAAGTGTTAGCCTAATGAGTTGCACTTTTGCTTCGATTAACTTGAAATTTAAAATTAAGATCAGATGACACGTAACATCATAAATAGCAGTGTTCTTTGTTTTTTTTAATATAAAGATGCCAATTTTAATCGACTGCGTAAAAATAACCAAAAATAAATATACTTCCTGATATACTACTGTTTATTATCCCATTCCAGATATCATCATCAAATATTTATTATAGTCAAAGACCAGCAAAATCAGATAATAATTGGAGTGTTTTCTCTGCTATTATACCTGTTTTGTTTTTCTTTTCATTATCAAGGAATATTTTAACAGCTTGGCATTAATGATCGGCATTGGGTCAAGTGAGATAAATTATTAAGTGTGGTGTGAAGTCAATTAGACTGGGTAAACATCATTTTAATTTGTTTAGAGACTTATTGACTGTAGAGTATATAGTAGGCACTCTATATAAGAAATTTAAATGTTTTACTAGTCTTTTATATATGCCATTATGCAGATGTTAAAATGTTTTGCTCATCATGGATAGCCAGACTAATTGAAAAAACAAGTTAATAGAAAAATAAGTTATTTTATTTTATTTATTCCTTTAAGTGTTCAGCCATGTCAAATTTATATGGTAATTCTTCTATTCACTATGAGTAGTGATTCATTATGAGATCAATACATATTCAAAGTTTTCAGGGCAAACCTGTTAGCCATTGCAACATCGGTTCATGTTCTTGGGGTGGACGATGGTCTTTGTATGAGCCAAATGTGTCTTTTCTTGGAATTGTGCAGCAATTGAAGAGGATCCCGTAGGGAAAAATGCAACTGCTTGAAGAAGTTGCAGAAGAATGGTATGCTCACATTCTTTATGTGCAAAAGCATCTCTTCTCCTTTGAATTCAAATCCTACACAGCCCTTATTTATCCCAATTATATAACAGTAGTTGTCTTAAAAATTCAGCTGCAAACCTGGCCACTTTTTAGGAGGATTGGCAGGATATTTTATCAGAATGTACAGTATTGCTGTTGTTGTTTGCCTCATGGGTCACAAGTTTCTAAAATATTCTATTATATCAAATATTTATGCAAATAACAAGATTTGACTTCCATACGTGGCTCACATAGCTATGAGAATTTGACTTATAGTCCATCGCTATATATTCCACTGCCATCTAAAAACCTCATTCAGAAGCTTTACCTACCACTAAAACTGAATGATTGCTTAGTGGCAGGTTAACTCAAGCAACATTATGAACTCTTCTAAAAGACGCAGAAAATTAGATTAAAGTTCATAAAATAATTGGCTTGTAAATTATTTGCCCCATTGCTAGTAATAACAGCACTCCTTGAGGCTTCCTGTACAGCTTGGTTATGATCCAGATTGGCTCAATTTCAGCAGCCTATGCAAGCTTGCTGCATACAAACATTTTTAGCTTCAAAAGCTTTAATGTTTAGTTATTAATTTTAATTATACTTTGTTAGAAAAAATGATTATCAATATTAAATACATACTAATTATGCTTTCCTTATCCATGTTGGCACAGAGATCCTTAATACATCCTACTGCATGGTGCCTCCAAAACATACTAAGGCAAGGGCTTCTGATACAATTCAGATTAATCATAATATATCATCATCATAGTATACTGAGGGCCAGCTCAATATGACATTACTGTAACAAGAAAAACCCTTTAAATATTTGATATTGCGAGATATATGCTATATGTTTTATAGCATTCCTAATACAAAGTAGATAAGCCTAGCATTAATTTGTGTTTGCTTGTGGAGAGCAAGGGTTGATTTTGAATTAGCAACCAATGGATGCATTGAAGTCGCTAGAGGTACAGTATTAATATTTAAAATGAGCAGGATGCTGTTTTCTCAGGTTGAATCTTATGTAACCTCATTGTTTAAAGTGGAAAAAACAGTCTTTTTTCTTTTTGTTTCTTTTTTTGAAGGAAGAAACATTGATGCAAAATAGAAAAAAAAAAAGAAAACGTGCTATTTATAGTCCATTTCATTACACTGTTTGAAAAGCTATCTCTGTGTATATATCTATCTCTCTTTGTACTAAACCTTTGTGCTAATTCTAACGGCAAGGTTATATATTTTTTGTGAAAGATTAGGAGAGGTAACATAATTAAACCTGGGTTTTGTTATGTACTTGGAGTCTTTTTTCCTTAAATATACATAGTCCTTGACTTACAACCATTCATTTAGTGACTATTTGAACTTTCAACAGCACTGAAAAAAGTGACTTATGACTTCTTTTCACACCTACAATCGTTGCAGCATCCCAGTGGTCACATGATTGAAATTCGAGCATTTAGCAACTGGCATGTATTTATGAAAATTGCACTGTCCCAGATCATGTGCTTTGTAACCTTCCAGCTGACTATCTGGAACCACTCATTTCGTATCTGATATTAGCACAATTGAGAAAGTCCAGAAATATTTCACAAGAAGAGTTCTCCACTCTTCTACTCGTTGTAGAATACCTTATGCCACCAGACTTGAAATTCTAAAACTAGAAAACCTTGAATTACGCCGTCTTCGGTCTGACTTAAGCATGGTATATAAAATCATACATTGCAATGTCCTACCTGTCAATGAATACTTTAGCTTCAACCATAACAACACAAGAGCACACAATAGATACAAACTCAAAGTAAACCGCACCAAACTTGATTGCAGGAAATACGACTTCAGCAATAGAGTGGTCAATGTCTGGAATACTCTACCCGACTCTGTAGTCTCTTCCCCAAACCCCAAAAACTTTAACCTTAGACTGTCTACTATTGACCTCACCCCTTTCCTAAGAGGTCTGTAGGGGGCGTGCATAAGCGCACCATCGTGCCTACCGTCCCTGTCCTTTTGTTTCTCTTATTCTTTTATTTTTCTTATATGTACCCATTTCATGTATTCACAACTATGTATACACTTATACTTATTATCTTGTAAACAATTGGCAAATCAAATAAATAAATAAATAAATAAATAAATAAATAAAGTCAATGGGGGAAGCTGGATTTACTTAACAACTACATGAGTCACTTAACAACTGCAATGATTAACAACTGTGGCAAAAAAGCTCGTAAAATGGGATACAACTTACTTGACAGCTGCCTTGCTTAGCAGTGAAAATTTTGGTCACAAGTCAAAGACTAGCTGTAAACTAGGAGATATTTGGATTAAGAGAGTGCAGATGAAGAAGTTAGTCATATCTAGGTGGCAAAAACTGGAAAATCATAGATGGTAACAACTGGAGCTTTGTGTACCTTTATGTACATAAATCAGAGCTTTAGGTACATAAAACAATTTTATAAAATTTATAAAATTTTATTTTTATAATTTTATACAATTTTGTAAAACAATCAGAGCTTTATGAATCTATATGTATTTTTATGATTGATTGAATGTACCTCATCTAGTGGGCATCTAGATTTTTGCCACCCAGATACACTCTTCCTCTGCCTTCTCAGAATACATTTCTCTCCTTTTTCACTCATTGATTTTGGTTATCATTTACTGAAATTCTAAAATTGGCAATGATTTTTGTAAAATATAATTTCTGAAAATTTTTAATGATACACTGTTAAGTTTTTTTTTAAAAAAAGAGCAGGCCTATATATCCTTTGCTAGCCTCATGCGGTCTATTGATTGGAAGTCTCTTCATTAAAGTTGTTCACAGTTATAGTGAAAGCCTATGCTCGTATCATATATTTTCTGCTAATGGTTATACTTTCAAATATCTCCCTCAGGAAAGGGAAGAAGAATAAAGAAAAAGGGAGAGAATCAAATAGGAAGTGGAAAATGAAACTGGAGGACATGGAAAATAGTTCTTTAACCTCTGAAAACCACAGTTTTATAATGAATACTGAGCAGGATATGAAAGTGAAATTTTATACTTTCAATTTTTGACTTGAGTAGGTGTGATGATCATTTCCTGTTTTGTTTTTGTCAGGAAAACATCTATCTTGAATCCAGAATTGTTGCAATTTAAACTACATGAAGTGCATTATGTATTGTATGGAGAGATTATAATTTGTTTTGCCTCTGTTAAAATCCAGAAAATATTTTTCCCTAAAACTATGTATATTTTAATTTCTTACAGATCACCAGAAATTAGAGAGAGAAGCTAGAATCTGTCGCCTTTTGAAGCACCCTAATATTGGTAAGAATATAGAAGTATACATCCATTGAGAATCTTAAGACAATAACCTTGAAGATAGTTTCATAAAAGTAAGAGATAAAAGAGGGGAAGCAATAATTGTTTTACTCTGGTGTAGTACTGTTGTCATAAGAGACATAAGCTCCTTTCAGATGTGGATATTATAATAAATGGTGATCATTTAACAGGAACAATCCTAGCACTATTATCCCACCCTTGGAATACAACCTGCTCCTTTTTATCCACTTATCCACTGTGTCCAAAATGAAGAACATGAAGCATTGACGACAATTAGTGTCTTCTTAAAACTCTAAACTATGGTTCTTTAGATAAAGAAACAAATTTCATACACTATTTTTTGCAGTTGGGTGGTTAAAAAAAACATAGCTATGATAAACATGATTTTTGGTTCAAGCAGTATTATTTTAAAGTAGAGATGAAAATGTCTAGTCTTTAGGGTTGTCCAAGAGGAAGAATAACTCCTTTTTATGACTAGGTTTGGAACTTGGCCTAGGAAAGCATCTGTTTTCTCAGAATTCACTGTATATATTTGGATATGCAAATATTTCCCAGTTTCACAGTTTCCCTTCCCCATACAGAGATAATGCTATGTCACTTTTACTATACTTTGAATAAGGGACAATTGGGAAGGTTTTGCGATATTTGAGCTCATTTGTTGCCATAGAGTGAACCATGCGCTTCATGACAAAGTGAAACACGTGAAACTTGTTGAGGAATTTATAGCCATATTCCCCTGGTCCCATGAGAAAACCATTGTCCATGATTTTGGGAAGAAAGTCTCATGCTCCTTGAATGGGCAGGCTAGTCATGCTTATTCAACAGTGGGAACAAAAGGACCAAAGTGAAGGTTAGCTAAAATGGTAGGGGCCATGCAGTGCTGGGGGCCAAAAGGGCATATATCAGGGGTGGGGGGTGGGAGAGGTAAGCAACTGGAGAGGGTTGAAGTGCCTCTGTAGTCATAAGTGCAGGCAGGCTGCCAAGCACCCACATTTTGATTATGTGACCATATGGACACTGCATTGGTTTATTCAGGGACCAATTCTGAGTCCCTTTGTCCAGTGCAGGGGTGGGATTCTACCAGTTCGCACCTATTCGCTAGAACGGTTGTTAACATTCTAAGCAGTTCGGAGAACCGATTGTTAGAAGAAATTACTGGCCTAATCCTGTAAGGAAGGCAGGAAGGAAACATTCTGGTGTTGCTTACAGAAACTGCTTCTCATTCTTAGCAGGACTAGACTTCCTGTCTCTGGAACGTCTCTGGAGTTTTTTTCCCCTTCCTTTGCTGGTACTTTGCTTGTGTGGAGTGACCATTCAAAGTTACAATGGCACTGAAAAAAGTGACTTATGACCATTTTTCACCCTTACGACTGTTCTAGCATCCCCACAGTCATGAGAGGCCAGGTGAGAAGATGCGTGCCTCGATGTGAGTGATATTGAGTTGGCCACACCCAGCCAATAACATGACCACCAAGCCATGCCCACCCAGTCACATGACCACCAAGCCACGCCCAACACCTAAGCCACGCCTACAGAACCGGTTGTTAAAAATTTTGAATCCCACCCCTGGTTCAGTGCCATTGTAACAATCATTAAAGAAATGGCTGCAAGTTGAGGACTACATATATATAGCCAGACTTACAAACCATTGCAGTACTGCTCTGTTGCATTATCCTATCTAAGATGATGATTTGGTGGTTCCTGTCAGTTTGAATATATTTATGGACGTAGAAAAGCTATTGCTTGATTTTGGGCCTCTGGCATAGAGTTCAGCAGGTTTTCTTTTATGGTGATAATCCTAAATTCCTTGGTCCTTATTGTGCATCTGTGAAAAATAGAGAATGTTGACGTTATATAAGACTTGGCTATTTGGTCTGAGGAAAATAATACCCACTTTTGTATTGGTGAGATTAAAATGGATTATTTTTCATTCTATATGATAGAAGAGAAAAATATCCTTGCATGAAATAGGCAATTCCAGTGTGGCAGAGTTAGGAAAGACTTGAGGCCAGAAGATTGTAATTTTGTTTCTTGCATCAAAATGTTGGCCACATTTGGATACAATTTTCTCCTTGAGTTGCTACTCTTTTGGGAGGAAGGAAGTCAGAGACCAGAGTATTTCAAGGATAAAAAGGGCTTTCTGCCTGTTCCAGAATATATATCTCAGTATAATTATTCTTGTAGTTTTATCTTGCTTGAAACACTTGGTTTCCTTTTGTAATCACTAAGATTCAGTGTAATGCCTTTAATTATTTAGAAGACATGCATTTAAAAAAAGGTTAAACATATTAATCTTTAAATAAAATAACTGAAAACTGCAATTATATATGTTTATATGTATGTACACACACAAACTGTCAAGCTGTTGAGGGGAGGCAGTGTTTTGCGAAGTGCAGAAAAGGAGTAAGAATGTTTAAGCTAAAGAAATTACAGCATGAGATTAAATAAAGGATGGAAAAGCTAGCTAGATCTAGTTTACACCAACATTGTTCATTGTATGGTTCTATAACTTTATATTGTTGCAAACCATACTTGATTGTTTATAGGTGTTCCTCAACTTATGATTACATAATTGGGAACAGAATGTCCATTGTTAAGTAGGGTGGGTTGTTAAATGAGTGACAACCTTATTTTATGACCTTTTTTGGCCACAATTGTTAAGTGAATCAAGTGGTTGTTAAGCAAATCTGGCTTTCCCCATTGTTTTTGCTTCTTGGAAGGCAGCTGGGAAGCTCAGGAAGGGTGACTACATTATCCCTGGAGATCCTGAAAATGTCATGTACACATACCCATGGCCAAGCGCCTGAATGTTGATGAGGGTGTGATCAATGTAAGGATACTGCAATAGTCATAAGAGCATGACCAGTTGTAAATCACTTTTTTCAGCATTATTGTCACTTTGAATGGTTGCAAAACAAAAATGGTTGTAAGTCCACAATTACCTAGACGTTATAGATTTATTTTGATTTTTGAAGGTTTTTTTTTTTAGGCTCTCATCAACACCATCCAACCATGATTTGCTCAGTATTGATGTTCCTCAATGAACTCTTCTTTTATATATTTGGGATTTATTCGCTCCAACCTACTGTACCTTCATAGTTATTCTTTTTTCAAACCAGTCACTCTCTTTAAACCTTAATCCACATTCATTCAATACTTACTCAGCCTTGATTCTACCTGCTCTGGTTTTCCATGTACAGTTTTAAAATGCCTCATTCCCACTGCATTCTGCCGTGTTTTTATGTTTCTCTTAACCACAAAATAGCAGAAGCATGCTGCTAATCACAGTCATTCTGCTTCTTTTGACAGACATCCATATCTCATGTGAGATTATTACCCATTATATTGTACCAGTCTCAGCAGATCTTAAATTTTCTCTGCATAGTATCCCTTCTTCTACCAAAGCACCATACTTATTTATTTACTTTTATTTACACATAAATAAAACTCAGACCCATCTCTTGATCAGAGTGGAAATTTATCTGCCTGCTCTGTTCTTCATTTTTTATGTGTAACTTGAAATTAGACACTCCACTGAAAGCGTAACTCTTGATTTTTAAAAATATATTCATTTTCAGACGCACCTGCCTTGGTTTCTGATACATTCATTTTCAGTTTAAGTGGCATGTTGAAACATGCAATCCATTTAGGAGTTGCTGCAAATAGCCAACAAGACATAATCTGCATACAAAAACACATATGTTTAAATGCATGCACCTGCCCAACCACAGGGCTGTTGTACTTCTAGAGAGGCCTGAGAGGCCTGGAATCTTTCTGTTGGGCCTAGTTCTTTCTTCTGCTGCTGGCCTGCTCTCCAGTTGATTGTCGGCCAGCTGCTTCTTCGTTGTCTACCTCCCATGCCATGAGTCTACTGGTTTTCATTACCCCTGTAATCCTTCCCCTTTCTGACCATTTTCTACCCGTATACAATAAATGAATGGAAGTATACTTAAATATACTATATTTAAGTATATAGACCTGGTGTGAATCTTTCTGAGGAGATTGTTCCTATTTCTGCCACATAGACACAAACCCATCTGGGTAACCTTGGGCCAGTCATGATCTCTCAGCCAATAAAACTATAGGGACTTCTCTAGCCAATCTCCAGGATCAAAAACTAACTCAATGGTGCACATGCACAACAACAGGTTTTTTGAATGTGTTTCTTAACTTCCAGGAATTTTTGTACTAATGCTAATGAGGAACTCTGGAGCCCACTATGTAAGACTAGACAGCGAGAACCTGTTCTATACAATGAGCATGGCATATAGAAACGGTAGTAGAGGTGGGCAAATTAAATATATAGTTGTTGTATTTCACTTGTTTCTTGCCATGTGTCTTCCATTTGTGCACAAACTAATTCATGAAACTGTGAAGATTCTCAAATGATAGCTAATAATCTAGTTTGTTAGGAGAATGGCAACAATTCCAGGCATCATTGTAATAAACCTGCTAAAGTTTTCATTGGTCAAATAGACATTGTTAGGTCTTGGTTTACGTCTGGGGAATGCTTGATGTTTTAATTACCAGAGGAAGCATGTAAATCTGCAGAGGAACCCCATGAAAGTACCAGTAATGCACTTATTAGTCCACATGCTTTTTAGTATGTCATTTGGTTCCAGAAGAAAATAGAGATAGAGCATTTAAAAATCCAAGAAAAAAATACAAAAAGCAACCCAGTTTTAGGTCCTCTGAAATGTCTTCCTTGTGTGTAGCTGGATGGCCACATGAAAAGGGCAATTGTGTCTGTGAAAGGAATGGAATTTATGTAAGTAAGAGAGAAAGAGAGTTCTAACTTGGTGAAGGCTTCTTATGTAAGTTCTATTGAATAGTGCCAAATTTCCTCGGAAGTCAAAGGAAACGGTAGCGTGTGAGAAGAATTTGGGTCCTGAGGAAAATAGGGTCTGTCTGTCTTATCTGCCACTGCACACATTTCCTGACAGCTTCTGTTTACTTTGAATCAAGATCAGAGAATCTTCACAAAT